CTGTATCGCTAAATTATTAAGTTCACTCGGCTTAGCCGCAAACATTACATAATTGGTTGGACGGAATATTAACGAGCATATGAGCATTTACTACTTTACCATATAATATGGTTAAATCTAGTTTAAAGTTGATTGCTGAATCAGTTTTGCTTTCTGCTACTTCTAACTTTACCTCAAGCTTGACCAGTCTATTCATTTTTGCTTTAAAACTATAATTTCAGCTTCATTTCTTTTCCGTTCTTTTGCTTCCATTTGATATTGGAGATATATGGGTCTAGAGTAATGTGTAAACACTACAGAGGGCTTCTTATTTAACCATAAAAAAGAAGCCCTCTTTAAGTGGAACAATAGCTGTTTAAAAAAGACTTTGCTTGTTAACTTGAACCTCGCTAATATTTGTATCAGTGTACCTTTGTTTAAACTTTGACTATAAGCACCATTAGAACGACCTTTAAGGTGAAGTACACATTTAATATTTCTCACACATTTAGTGAATATTCTCATATAGTTTTAAACTTTATTTAAAGTATACTTGCTAGAGTATACCCTGTAAAGGAGTTAAAATAAATATTTCTTTCCTACAATCTTAGGATAACATTTCTGTCTTTCATTGTTAACTTCATTAATTAAAGGATATATCTGAACACTGTAATATGGATGAATTTCTAATAATTTGATACTGTTCATCAGAATCAGTTCAGCCTCACTAAGATTTTAAGCTTAAAGCATCATAAGTTTTCATTTTTATTGGAAAGCTTACCTCCATCCTCATAACTTTATCAGGATTTGTAGCATTTTTTATGAGAACAATAAAATTCTTTTTGTTAGGATATTAGAGGGCTTTTTTTATCAATGCTAATGCCAGTGAGTTAGCAGGATGTTCAACCAATTTGGTCTAAAATAAGATGTTGTTTAATATTTAGGAGAGTAAACTATTTTTTAATTGGTTTGAATTTAATTGAGTTACACTTACCTTAGATTTTCTGTTTCTATTGCTTAAATCTTTCCAGCCCTTGTTTTTTTCTACCTAACCCTGAAGCAAAGTCTTTTCTGTCAACAGTTATATCTTAGTCCAATCAAGTTTGGTCATGTTCCAGAAGTCTTAAGAACGTTCTTGAATGCATTTAAATTGAAATTTACATTTAAATATTAATAGACTTTTTTCAAAGCTTATTATTTCAGGTTCATCAACAAAAATTATATTTGAGGGGGGGAGGGGGGAGGGGGAATGGCAGTGCTGGGAACCTTTTTTTTTTTTTTTTTTTAATTTTTTCTCCAAAAAACATAGCCCTGGGCCCTGATCCGTCACTGTAGGAAGGGCAATACTACTAGTTATGTCAAATAGTAGTAGATTAATAATTTTTGTCAAAGAAACTTTCGCCGAAAATATGGATAACAAATTAGGTCTTTTCTATTCTTTTATTTTCTTTTAAATCTTAATTTGGAATCAATTACTTTTTCCTAATAACTAACTTCAAAACTTTTATTTTAAAAATTATTCGAGGGGGGGGGGGGGGAGGAAGGCATATGCCCCTGCTGTCCCCCGGTTGCTACAGGCCCGTTCCAGTCTACAAAACTTATATAGAAGGGCCTCAAGAAAATTATCATGAATCATAGAAACTAAATGTATTTCAATTGTTTTTTAATTTTATAGGCAAGTTTTAATAATTTAGGTAACGGGAAAAAAAAATTCAAAACAGAAAAAAAAAAAAAAATTAAAATATCCTATATTAAATTGAGCGAAGTAAGGGCAAGTAATTTTTTTAAATTTTGCTTTCATATATACCTATCAATAAGAAAATGTTAAAATTATTATCAACGAAATAAAAAAAATAAAAAAATCAATTTGGGGTATTTTGCGGAACAACAATTCAAAAGTAAAATACAGTGTCAAAAATATTTTTTTTTAGTTTCCAAATATCTTAAAGATGAACTAAAATTTGAACGGTTTTTACCCATATCAACTTTTGTGACGCTAAAGCAAGCTTTTTGTACGCAAATTTTACAATAAACAAACAAAAAACAAAACAATAAGTATCAAGAAAAGGTCCATAAATTAGTGAATCCTAGAAATTTAACCAAAAAACCATCCTATTTCTTTTCCCTGTTCCATCCTACTTCTTTTCCCTGTCCTGCGCGTTCGTTCAGTTTCTTCGTTACCTTTAAAACCAAGTTTATACTGTAATTTTATGAACAAAAAATATGCTGAAATATATCTGAAATATATCGGAGTATGCTGGTTCCGAGCGAAACCAATATATTCCTTTAAAAATAAAAGTATGGAGAAAAATATTTGTTGTTATTTATTAACTGCTTAACAGAAGTTAATTTAAAAATATACTGTTTGAGTGTTATACTTTAAAATTTTACTCTGCTCCGTAACTGCCTTTTGGGAATAACTTTTCAATGTATGAGTAGTTAGCTTTTTTAATGGCAGGAAGTGTTTTTTTTTTAAATACTGTTGATTTTTTATTTTATATTAATGTGTTTTTTGTAATAATAATGCCGGTTGTCATAGATTAAAATTGTCACAGCTAATATCAGTACATATATTTTTTTTTACTCTTGCTATTACTACTGATTTTTTTTAATTAGGTTTTTTAACACCAAAATTTATTATTTTCATTGTTATACGATATAATTATTTTTTCTGATATGATAAACATATAATTTTAGATTATAATAATATTACTATTGTTACTATTTTTATTGTTATTATATTATTAATACTATTATTATTTTTGTTATTATTATTATTAGTGCTACTAATTTATCTTAATTTCTGATGATCGCATATTACTGAACGCCGCAACAAAAACACAGAAAAAAAAAGTTAAAAGATTGCGAAACTCTTTATTATCGTGGACAAGAGACGTAAAAAAGACATCTTTTTTACGTCTCTTGTTTATAGATTTTTTATAGATTTCAGATTTTTATTGTAGTATGATAAGATATTGTTATAAAGAGAGGTTTCAAATGTTGGGTTTACTATTGCTGGAAAGTAGCAGAAGAAAAAGAAGAAGAATTAAAAAATAAAGAAGAAAAATAAAAAGAAGAAGAAGAAGAAGAAAAAGGGATGATCTAATTCAAATGTTTAAATATTTGAATCAACATGATGTCATAAATTTTTACTGAAAACCTGAAATACAAGATAACGACCATAAAACCTTAGACTGCAATAAAAATCTGAAAAGAAAATTTACTGGAAATATACAACAAATTTTTTCCTTCTTAGAGTGGTAAACGACTAGAACAATTTTAAACAAGAAAAAACGCGCAGTCAGTATCAATCAATTCAAAAACAATGTGGAAGAACTTTAAATAATAACTTTTAATATTTTTTATGTTACAGCTGTTAAAGTTAAAAATACTACCTAGTTTGGACTCATCGCTCTCGAAGTGCACAACACTATTTTATTTTATTTCTGTTATATTGAAAATCTTATACCCCGTTAAGATTCCAATAAGAGGAGAAAACGTTAGTGAGCGTAACTTTCAACATCATGATTACACCATATTATTGAATAACTAAAAGGTTGTTTAAAATTATGTCTAAATACTTCAATGTTGGTATATAAACTTTGTGCGGCGCCAAGAAACAATAACTACATTTCTTAGATGAAAGTTTAATTTTACTTATATATCTAATATATAAACTTATTTAATATATATATATATATATATATATATATATATATATATATATATATATATATATATATATATATATATATATATATATATATATATATATATATATATATGTATATATATATAATAATAATAAAATATACTTATTATATATATATACATATATATAATATGTATGTATATATGTATATATATATATATATCATAATATATATATGTATATATATATATATATATACATATATATATATATATATATATATATATATATATATATATATATATATATATATATATATATATATATATATGTATATATATATGTGTATATATATAAATATATATATATATATATATATATATATATATATATATATATATATATATATATGTATATATATATGTGTATATATATAAATATATATATATATATATATATATATATATATATATATATATATATATATATATATATATATATATATATATATATATATATATATATATATATATATATATATATATATATATATATATATAAATACAGAGTCAGACATTAAATAGAAAGTAAAACACATATTGACATTTTACAGATCCAATCTGAAGCAATTTTATTTTTAAACTTAAATTTTGAAAATATGTTTGAAATAAAGTTTGAAAATGACGCTTTAAAAAAATTGACAAAAATAATACTCTAAAATGAACTTTAGTTTTAGGAACCCTTAAATATTACTTTGCAATTTTTTATGCAGTTCTATAAATGTAAGAGGTTTCTTTTTAGTTTCTCATATTATCTTTAATGCAGCTTGAAGTCCACATTTTTTTGTGTGACCAGATATTTTATTACTTATCAAAATTAAGTTTTGCTCTATATTTTTGCCATAGGAAATTTTATCATTAGACCAGTCTTTAGATATTTTCATTCTAAGCTTAGCCTCTACACCAAATGATTTCATTTTTTGGCAGGTTGTGCAGCCAAGCTTTGTTAAAAACAGATCCACTTGTTTTTGAAACAAAAATCTGTTTTTTGCTCTAATGTCCAGCAACTTAGTCAGTTGAAGTTGGTGTAAAAAAAAAAAAAATAAGTTAAAGTAAATCCTTCTCATGCAAACTTGTTTTTTAGTAAGAAACAATAGATTCTGAAACTCAGTGCTGCAATGTTTTCATATCTGCAAAATATGTTTTACTTTTTACTACTCTTTAAAACCCACATTTGCATTTTTAAATTAAAGATTTTTTAATACATTTATAGTATAATAATACGAAGGGAAAAAGTGTTTTATATATAAAAAAATGTATGATTTAAATTTTTATTATATATTTTATATTTTGTTATTTTATTTTTTCAGTTTTGAAATAACAAAAAGTCATATAATTAAACCATGTTGGAAAATGAATAAACCTGAAAATATTCCAATTATTACTCTTTCTGGTATTGGATGCTTATCTGAAAGTGAGTCAGAAAATCTATGCTACGCTAATTATTGATATTATTTGAAAAAAATTATTTCTGTGGACTTTATATTTTATTAATTTTGTATCTATAGAATGCATATCTTTTATTATTTAGTTTCTGGAGAACTTCCTCTTCCTTGTTCAGCGCTGCAGCCATTACAGTTGTTTTCCAGCCAAAAACAGGCAAATGAAGCATTGCAGCATATTTATAATGGAACAGAAAACTCACTTGAAATAGCACAACTTCTTTCCAGTGTAAATAATGCTTACTTGTGAGTCTTAACATTGTATTTAAATGATAAATGTATTTTTATAGTTATTTTTTTGTATTTGTTTATTATAAATAAGAAGATTTTGATTTTATAATTTTGAAATTTGAATGAGTTATTGAATTTAAAATTTAAATTTTTATCAATAAATACATGTTGTACATATAATTCTAATGATCTATCAGATAATATGGATTTTAAAAAATAGAAAAAAATTTATATACTTAAACAAATTGAGCTTTTGGTGTTCAAGTCTTGTTAAAGTAAAGCTATTCATATCACTATGATGTAAATATAGTTAATTCTTGTTTTAAAGCTAATGATCAATTAGAGTTACTTGTAAATAATTTTAAATATTTTGAGAGAATATTGATATCCTTGTTACCAAGTATATTAAAAAATCATTAAAAAAAATAAAGTCACTGTATTAAACAAAACCATTTAAATTTACTAAACAAAGTTCTTTGTAAGAGCTTCTTCTTTTTTGTGAGATTTAAACACTGGTACTTTTTTAAATACTTTTCTTAACATAGAACTGAATCAAGGAATTCAGGGTAAAGGCACTTTTTTTAGTCATTAAAAAATGTTGCTTTTTCATGAGATAGGGCAATTGAAGCCCATTAGCCTGAAAAAGTGCTTAATTTTAAGCACCATTGGTACACCTACATATAGCAACTCTAAATATTTTGTTAATATGGTACAACCCATTCTAAGCTTAAATGAACACATTTAAAATTTTTTTAGCAGTTTGTGGATATAGTATGATTATAGGAAATTGATAAAAATGAGATTCAGATTTCCTTTGATAATGTTAATTTGTACCCTTTGTTCTGGATTAAAGAAGCTTATTATAAAAGTTGAAAAATTAAAAAATAACCAGAACTCTATATCTAAATTGACTTTTGAAGTGATCAAGTTTGTTTTAGAACTTTATCTTTCTTATTGCTACTTTTTATAAGCAAATGATATTTATGAGCTCGAAAACTCCGGACCAATTGGCTTAGCCCTTATGGTGGTGGTTGTCTAGTGTTTTTTACAATAACACGGATGTAATGCAATAACATCATGCCAGCATCTAAATAAAAAGCAACATTTATGTTTATATCCATATTATGTATACATAATTGCGTATCTTTGAAGCTTTTATTCATATTATTGTTCATTATAATTCTTTAGCAGTTGCTTGATTAAACTGTAATCATTTTTTTCATCTTTTTGATAAGAAAATCTCTCTTAAGAACAAATGTCTTTTTATTATTGCAAGAAGCCAATGTAAAAAGGTCCTGTCTGATGTTAAGCTCTGTTCTTCTTAATTTACTAAATATTGTATCTTATTTTACAGGGCCTATTCTTGGAAGAAAATTTGGGCAGTGGTACCCCCTCATTCTGGCAAACTTTAGCAGACAATCAGCATTTTTCTTGTAAAAAAAAAATTGCTGTAAAAAAAACGTAAAAAAAAAAAGCTCCTCAAATTTTAATTTGGGTGGTGCCCAAATACAGTTGACGCTATCGAAAAACGACCTAAAACAGCTCTCTTTAAGATGTTAGGCTCTAGAGACTTTTGGAAAGTCTTCAACAGTGTCATTAACTAAAATCAGTCTAACATTTAATCTCTAATTCATGGGTCTGATCTTTTTATTTCTCCCTAGGATAGGGCAGAGTTATTTGGAAAAAAACTTGATTAGTCGACTTTAAAAGGCTTAGTCTCTCTAACTACCCTACGATTAGTCTTTACTATTATTAGTTTCTTTACATAAAGTTTTTAAGATTATTAATTCATTTCTTTCTAACTGCAGTATTAAAGTTTTTCTTGAATACCTACATTCTTCTTCATTTCAAGTAATTTTAAGGGTATCACAAGGTTCTATCTTTGCTTCTGTATTGTTTCTTATCTACAATAATGATATGATGAAAATTATCTAAAGTGGCTCTATTTGCTGACAACTCAACTTTATACAATTGACAAAAAGTCTTCACTTTTGGATTGCTTGAATTGAATTGATTGCTTGGATTTATACAACTTTATACAATTGACAAAAAGTCTTCACTTTTGGATTGCTTGAATTGAATTGATTGCTTGGATTTATACAACTTTATACAATTGACAAAAAGTCTTCACTTTTGGATTGCTTGAATTGAATTGTATTGAATTGAACTTGAATTGCTTGGATTGAACAAGTAGCTGATTTTTAATCTGATCTCCCTTCTGTAGCAGCTTCTACAGAAGGCTTCTAGTGGCTTGTGGATTTAAAGTCTAAACTTTAAATCCACAATTTTTGTTAGACAAGAAAACTCATTTACTGCAAAAAAATATTGTAATACTGTTTGCATTCCTATATTGATGAATAAAAACCCTCTTTCTCTCATACAAAGTCTAAAAGCACATTGTAAATGACTTGTTTTTATCCAGGGCCGGGGCTCCAGTCACTTACTAAAGCAGGTAATACAAAATGTTTTAAAAAGCATCTATAATTTTTTTTTAAATGTTGTAGTCGCATTTTGAAATATGTTTTCTTTTTAATTCCAAATAAATTTTGAAATCACATTTTATTTCAATTTATAATATGAATATATTATTTTTTCAATAAATTGTTTTTTTAATGTTATAGTCACATAGAATATGACTATAATGTTAAAAAAATAATCACTTGAATGAGGCTGTGAATCATTAATAACTAGCTGTCAGGACCCATAAAAACGGGTCTTGGTAAGTCTATTCCACATTGGCCATTTCTATACTTATTCCTTACTTCAATATATTCAATATATACTTTAATATTTTTTAGTAAGAGGTAGAAAAACAATTATATATCTATATGAAAAAACTATTGTTTGCTTTTTAAAGTTAAAAAAAAATTTAATAAAATAATCAACTTAAAAATTTTTTAAACGTATAGGCTGTTTCCCAAATTTATCAGTAGTTTGGACATTAGTACCTGTCTAAATAATATTTAGTACCTGCTTGAATTTTGTTGTTTAATTACAATTTGTATAAAAAGTTTAAAACGATTAACGTTAAACACTTTATAACTTTTTATTGTAAAATTGTAAACTTCTATAAATAAATGTATTATTTTTTTGAAGAAATTTGCATTTTTAATAATTCTAATTTTTATTAAGTTTCTTATAAATTTTTATTAATTTTTTTTATGACCGTTTATTTTGAATAAAATAAAAGTTTCAATGTAAAAACATTTTCCTATAAGAAAGAAAGTTGTTTTTTTAATATGTGTTAAATGTGCAGACTTAACTAACTACCTAAGTACATTAGTAATATAAGTATCTCTATGGTGAAATATGCATGATAGACATTTTTCCAGGTGTTTTAATGTACTTTGAAATTTTAAGTTTTTTTTTTTAAATTCTCTTAATTTTTTTTGTTATAGTATGTAATATCTTTATAAATGTTATGTATTTAATATCTATAGAACTTCAAAAATGTTTTATTTTGTTAAATTAAAAAAAAAAGAATTTAATGTGCAAGCTAATGGATTTGTACCCTCCCAATGCGCACTAACCACTCAGACATATTATACTAAAAGGCAATTTTCAAGTAAAAGTAAAATTGTAAAATTTGATATAGTTTCTTACATTACATAATTTAAAGTCTACATAAGTTAGATATTTGCATACACTTTATTTCACATTTTCTTATTAAAAAAGTGTTGCGACTCTTTCTCACTATTAATTGGATGTAATGACTGCATTGAGTTCTGTGCAAACACGTACAAATGAGCAGTTGAGCAATATATGATATGATGCTTAACCTTCTATTTGTTCTAGAATAAATTTTTATTTAGGTTATGTAAAACAAAATGTTAAAACCTTCTAATTTTAGAAAGAAATTTTAACATGCATCACTGCATGTTAAAATTTCTTTCTAAAATTAGAAGTTATTGTTTTTTAAGTTTAATGCATTTCAGCTAGTTTAAACTGATTGAAAATCAAAATATTATTTCTCTCTTTTTTTAAAAATAGTTTGTTTTCTAGTAGTCTGTTACTTTAATTGAATTTTTCCCTTGCAGTTGAAAAAAGCTCCAAAAAAAAAAAGAGTAAAGCATGAGCACTAGTTGCCAATTGTGAAAAACTTGAGGTTACATCACTGATAATTCTATAATACTAATCTTTGAACTATAATCGTCAATTTATATCTTACAAAAAAATGTATTTTACTTAAGTATTTAAAAAAAATGTAATTGGTTATTTAAGTGTGTGACCGTTTTTTGATTCAAAATATTTTTTACTCATTTTTAAGCAACATTTTTTTAAAAATAAATGATGCATTTTTACCTGCTCGGTGTAGTTAAGGCAATTTACAAAATATTTAAATACTTTTATTTGGAATTAGCATGGTTTTGTCAAGATTTTATGCCCAAACAAGATCTTTAAATGTTATAATTTTTTTTGCTTAAGGTTTTTATAATATTTAAAGAAACTTTTCTTTTTTGTTTATAATTTTCAAAATCTTTTTACTACCCGTAATTATGTATCTAAAGAACACTATTTTGTAGCCTTTAGATCAATTCCGCTCATCGGCATTAACATGAATTAGCTAAAATCTTTAAAAAAAGTTCCTTAATTTACTACTGATCCTAGTTCTTATTGGTTCTGACGTATATTAACTATATATAGTTGTCAAAACACAATATTTCTATCAATTTTTACAAAAAATACTGGAATTCCAACCAAGAAAGAGCTTATAATTATGAAAAATTGCCAATAAACGATCAGAACAGATCATATTGTTAAACTATAATGTTCATTTCATCTAAAAAACGTATTAAATAAAATCTTTTTTAAATTTGAACAAGCGATTGTGATTTTAAGATGATTTAAAAAAAAAAAAAGATTCCACGGTCTGGATTTTTTCGCTACAAACATTTATTTATTTATTTATTTTTTTTATTTGCATTCACTCCCAACAAGGCTGCAAGCAACCACTATCAAGTTGGGAGTTACTAGGAAAAAAAAGAACAGAGTTATAGAGCAAGGAAACGGTTGACAGAAGACTTAAAAAGTTGAAGATTGTATGAGTCAGGAAAACATGAAGATGGGAGAGAGTTCCAAAGGATTGAAGTGCGGGGAAAAAAACTAGATGAATAAAAGTTTTTAGAACATGCAGGGACAGATACAGTAAACGAATGAGACTTAGCTGAATGACGAGTAAAACAAGAATGAATTTTAGTTGATGGAACTAGAGATAATAACTTCTTTGAGCAGTGACCATGATAGTATTTGTAGAAAAGAGAAAGACATGCAACTTTACGGCGATGGGAAAGAGGTTCAAGCTTAGCAGATAGTCCAGGTCCAATAACATTTACAATGCGTTTTTGGACCTTGTCAAGAAGAGAAAGTGAATCGTTAGAAGAACCAGCCCAAATATGACAACAGTATTCCATACAGGGACGAATAAGAGATTTGTAGAGGTAGAGAATGGAATCAGAAGTAAGGAAATGGCGAGCACGATAAAGAGAAGCAACCTTAGCAGAAGCTAATTTAGCAATCGATTTTATATATGGTTTCCATGAAAGGTCAGTAGTAAGCGATAATCCAAGAAGATGTAAAGAGGACGACTCAGTAAGAGGATTGCCATTCATTAATATAGAAATGTTGACCATATTACGGTAGTTGTTTGCAGTAAGCAACTGGGTTTTTTTAGAGTTGAAATTCACAAGCCACTGTGAACCCCAATCTATTACTGAAGTGAGATCGGATTCAAGATCAGCTGCTTGTTCTAGGCGATCGAAAAGAGAGGACTTTTTGTCAAGACAGGAGTATAAAGTTGAGTCATCAGCAAAAAGAGCTACTTTAGATGAAAGGTTGTCAGGAAGATCGTTTATGTAGATAAGAAACAAAACAGGGCTGAGGATGGAACCTTAGGGAACCCCAGAAGTTAATGGAAATAAAGAAGAGTGTTGGCCTTCAAGGATGACTTTAATAAACCGGTTAGAAAGAAATTTTTTTTTTTTTTTTTTATTTCAATTTACCTTCTCAAGGCCGAGAAGGCCACTACAGACGAGGAGGTTACTTATTTGTGGCTATAACCCTCTCTCAACTCTATAACTCCGAAACACGAACCTTGACGAACAAGGCCGCTGCGCGGAGAAACGAGTTGAGCGCGGTACTACCAGGGACGTGGTGGGGATCGAACTCGGAACCACTCGTTTATGAAACGAGCGCTCTACCACTACACCACTACCGCAATATGATTTGATAATCTCAAAAACTTTCCCAGAAACACTATATGAAGCAAGCTTCATATAGTGCTTCATAAGCTTATGGAGAAGACCAGCATGCCAAACTTTGATATGTCGAGAGCAACCACCCTAGCCTTACCGCCTCCATCTAATGCACGATAAAATCTTTCAGTTACAGCATTTAGCAAGTCGGCCGTAGAGCAAGAGGATTGAAAACCGTATTGATTGTCTGACAGTAGTTTATTTGACTCAAGATGAGATGTGAGGAATTTGTTGATCAAAGAGTCAAAGACCTTGCTAATAACAGAAAGAAGACTGATCGGACGATAATTGGAGGGGTCAGAATTTTCTCCAGAGTTTTTGAATATTGGAACCACAGATGCCATTTTTCAACAAGCAGGAAAACAAGACTCATTCAAACACTTATTAAATAGTTTAGAGAGAATTGAAGAAAGTTCTGGAGAACAATTCTGCAAGACTGTGACAGGAATGTTGTCTGGACCACAAGCTGTAGACGAGTTTAATTGAGATATGACTTTAGCAACAGAAGCCGGAGTGATTTGAATGTCTAACAATGGGTCAACCTGTTTGACTGGAATGGAAGGAAGAGAATGTCAATAAGATTCAAGAGTGGAATTAGAAGAAAAGTTCTTTGCAAATAGTTCTGCCTTATCCTTGGGAGAGGTAATAAGATTAGTCCCATGAATGAGAGATGGAATGTTAGATCTACCCTTGTTAATAATGCTGTTGAAGATTTTCCAAAAGTCTTTAGAGCCTAACTTCTGCAATAAGATGCGAGATTTAGTGAACTGAGAACAATGGAGTTTAGCATCAGAAAGCACCTTTTTACATCGATTTCTTGCAATAATAAATAGCCGTTTGTTCTCAAGAGAGTTGTTCTTTTGAAAAAGATGAAAAAAATGATTACGATTGGATATAACAGCCGCACAAGAAGGAGAAAACCATGGAGTAGAATGAGGCTTGACTTAAAACCGACGAGAAGGAATAAAAGCTTCCATTCCAGCCTTAATCCAGGAGGTTATGTAGGAGGCGCATTTGTCAGCTGAGAGAGAAAAAACATCAGCCCAAGGACCATCACGAAGAAAATCACGAAAGGAATCCCAGTCAGCTTTAGGGTAGTAGTAGGTGGTGCGATGATAAGGTGAGCCCAAAAAAGAAGTACGAGAAGAAAGATTTATAGAGATCATTGCATGGTCAGAACCACCTAAGGAAGAAAAGGGAGAAACTGAACATAAGCTAGGGTCAGAGACAAGACATAAGTCAAGGAGTGAAGGTAAATGATTGGGGTTGTCAGGAAAACAAGTCGCAAAGTTAACTATCTGAGTAAGAGATTGAGAAACGCAGAAGTTAAAGGCTTTAGTGCCAGCAGGATCAGTAGTGTTAGAACCAAGCCATTCAGTGTGATGTGCATTAAAATCACCAACATTAACAATATTGGCAGAGGGGTAAAGAGAGAGGGCATGGTCAATTTGATCAGAGATAACATCTAAGAGAGTGCAATCATGGGAAGAAGGAGAACGATAAAGGACAAAGAGAAAGGTGATAGAGTGAAGAGGTGCTAGGCGAAAGCACATAAAAGAATGGTCAAAGGATTCGAACCTGATTTCACGACAAATAGGGGAATTAATGTGTATGTATACCCCTAAACCTAGCATGTGACTATTGGAGTCTTTACGAATCAAAGGATTATACCCATCAACACTGACATCTGAAGAAGGAATTGCAGAATTTAAATTTGTTTCACTGAGTGCAAGCAAGTCTGGTGAATTTTGCAGGAGGTAAGACTTAACTGATGGAAAGTTGCTTCGTAGACCGCGAATATTTGTAAAAGATATATTAAAATATTTAGGTGGTGGGCATGGTTTTTTAGGTTTTAAATTTTTGGTTACTTTGGTCATGATTTGGGTTTAATGAGAACTTGACTCATTCATAGATAGAGCACAGCCTCCTAATCAATGAGCTGTGCAGTTGTCTCTGTCCTGTTAATTAACCCTAAGCCGTGACATAGGGCTCCTTATGTGGCCTTGACAATGCACACCAAAAGCATTAACAGGGACACCATCCATGCGCAACATGGCACTGTTAATACTCTGATATTTTGCAGCTGTTGATGGAATCAGCCTCTCTGAGAGCTACCACAGAGTTCTGGAAACCTTACTACCAGCCAGCCTCAGAACCACTAAACTGAGTTTTAGAGCTGTACCCTCATATGGAGATAACAGGAAGAGTTGCATAGCCATTATCAAGGATTCATAAGAAAAATTCTATGAGTAGAGTAATACTTTATAGAGTTATACTTTATGATACCGCAAAATTTATTATTTTAATTTTTTTCGTCTTTTCATAATTCACAGACCAGACCATTTAACGGAAATATGTCGTAGTCAACAAAATATCATAGAGACGCTATAATATTTTAAAAAAGCCTTAACTACACCGAGTGGCTTTTACTCAGTCTCTAGCATAATTAGTAAAAAAAATACTTTTTTTTTTTAATTTTTTTATTTTTATAACATGGTATCAAGTTTGCATTTTAACTTTATTTAGACATCTTTTTATTTCATTTTATTTTAAGTAGTATAAGTAGTTTTTCCTCTTGTTGTTTTTTTTACTTTTTCTTTTTTAAAGCCACTACCATATTTACTGTTCAAATATGTTACCATTGCTTGTTCTATTTTATAAAGTTTTTCTATATCTCATTGATGAAACACATTGTTTCACTGTGATTGTGTCTTTAAGTTTTAAAATATTTATTTGATTAGTTTATTTATTTTACCTTTTTCTATCCTTTCTATCCTTTTCAATTCCTATTCTTCAAATCCTACCAAATTATTTTGTCATTATTGTATACAGATAACTTAAAGCTTATCAAGTCTCCTGTTAACCTTGCTCTTTAATCTTCTAAGATTTTTCTTGCTCGTTAATCTTTCATTTTCTAAGAAAATCTTGATAGTGCTGTATAAAAAAATAATATTTAAATAATAAAAAAAAATTACCATTTTATTCAACAAAAGAAAATGTTTTAAATGTTTTAAAAAAAATCAAAACTAAAATTTTTTTTTTCATTTAAATAAAATGTTTAATTTTTTTATGTTATTTGTATAAAATATGTACTATTTAAATTATATTATGAGGTTATTTGAATTTTATATGAAAATATTAAAAAATGTTTTATTTAAAGATTTTAATTTTTTTTAAGAGATTTTAAGGTTACATCAAACAATCAGCCATCTCAACTGAAGGACAATAATGTTTTACCTCCAGTACTAAGATCTGTACTAAAAAGTCATCCAAATATTTTTCAGCCCCAATTTGAAACTTATCATGGTAATTATTTAAACCATTATTGATTTATATTTATCTCAATTTTTTTTCCAAAATCCTTTTTTAATAACTCTTTTTAGGTTCACCTGTTAAAGGAAACAGCGTTGAGGCATACTCAGTAAACCAAAGAAAGGCTTTTATTCTACATCATCAGCAACAGCAACAACATCGCCAACAACAACAACTACAGGATCATAATCGTGTGCTGACTCAATTTTCAAACTCTGGTTTCCATTTAAATAATTCAGCTATGGATGAATCTCCATTGTTACATGGATACATTCCAGCTGATTCAACAAGTTCTCCAATGATTAGTAGTCCCAATATGCAACAGTTTTTTTCGGTTGAATTTTCAACTTTTTTAATTTTTTAATTTTTGTTTACTCTACTTTAAAATGGCATAATATAAAAACCTATTTCCCTTATATTCATATAAAATAAAACCCATTCGCACTAAATCTATATTTATATAATATGTGTTTTAGGTATTTATTCTTATTAACACAGCCTTGTGATATTTAAACAGTTTAAAAAAAAAAAAAAAAAAATAATAAAGTAGTATAAAGGTAATTGAAAAAGTTAAAATGTGAATATTAAAAGGACAAAAGGACCATTCTTAAAAGTAGCAGATCTTTGCTAATAGGAATAAGTTGTATTTAGTTGCCCAATATTTTTAGTCATTGACTTTAATGGATATTTCAGGTTATGTATGCACACAAAGTCCATACCATGAAATAGTTTATTTTTTACTTTTTAGTCCATTTTTAAAATATTGTTTTTAAAAAGTTTTGTTTATATTTTTTTATACTTTTGTATATGGTTTGAATCGTTCCTGACTCAATCTCTTCTTTAATATCTTCTGTAGTACTATTATCACCACTATTTCTCAAAAAGTTATTTAACCCTATCCATATATCCATTATGTAGCATCCCAGTGTAGTTAATATTCTTATTAGGATATGTAACAGGAGAGGTTACTAAATGTTGAAATTAGTTAACTAGATTTTCATCAAGGTAGAGAGTTTTTGGATAAATCAATTATAAAATGTTTTAAATAAGAATTACTTAAACTATTTTTAACATTGTTTCTTTTATACAAATGGTCAGGTTCTGATTAATTAAAGTACGTATTCTGATTTATTAGAAATAATTATATTATTATAATTATATATTATAACAATTTTAATCATAAATCATGTTCAAACTTCTGATTAATTTATTCTGATTACTATTTAACAAAAACAAGGTCTTTTGTATTTGTGCCATGAATGCATTTTTAACAACTCAAAAATTAGTTATTATTTTGACATTAGCATTTCATCTTTTGACATTGTGGATGCAGCGTGTCTAAGATTTTTCTTTCTGAATGATTTACTGGTATCAATTTTATTTTACTTTTGTAATAATTTTATTAAAATGTTTCCAAAATAACAAAGAACCTGTTATTTGTTATTTTGAAAACATTTTAATAGGTTTAATTTTTTTTTAAATTTAATTAATTTAGGAGGCATGGGGCATAAAAAAAAAATAATTTAAGAAAATGTTAATTTAAGAGTCAATTTTTATTTAATTACAAAACTTTTTAAAACAGATTTGAAACTTTTGTCAGCTTTCCTTTTATAATAATTTTAGGTATGCAAATATAAAATCAGTGCCATGGCAAGTGGGTTGGAGTCCCCACCAAAACTTGCTAAAACCTTATAAATTTTTCTACTAGGTATTACCTAAAAAAAAAAAGCTCCTCAAATTTCTAAATGGGGCTGTACATTTTCAAATGGTCCCCCTAAAATTGCTGAACCGCCCAAATTGGGGTGCCTAGCCACGGCTCTGTATACAATCAGCTCCCTTAACACCTTGTGTAACAGTTTTAATTTTTTTATTATATGTTTTAGTTTTGAAAACATACAATAAAAATTACATATTTAGCATGCTTCACAGCATAGATTGCATTTACTAATGTATACAATTAATTATAAGCAAAATAATTTACAAATGTATATGATTAATTTTAGCGAAATAATTTACAAATATATATGATTAATTATAAGCAGAAGATTTTGGATTATAAAAATTTTTAACCCAGCTAATCTGTAAAACAGTGATCCCTTAATTCAGTTGTTTATTTGTTGTTTTTTCTTTACTTTTTTTTTTTTCTTCACTTTTTTTTAGTTGTTTACTTTTCTATTTTTACTTTTTTTTATATAGTTTCTTAAATGTTTTTAATTTAATAAAAAAAATTGTTTTTATGATTGTTATGTTAAAATTTTTTTTTCATTTCAATGATTTTTTTTTAAAGGCATATCAAACATCCTGTAGCCCACAAGTGCAATACAGTAACATGACAAGTCCAAAGTTTGTTTCCCCTGCATCAGCAAGTAATGCAGCAATAAATAATATGTCATTTTTTCCTTCTAATAATGCATCATTTTTCTCAAATGATCTTTTGACAAAGCAACAACAAACTTTAAACTATATTTCTAATCTACCCACAAACCATATAGTATCTCAATCACATCGACAAATGTCAACATCCTTGAATCATTACCCTTCATCAACTGTTCATCAATCAACCTATCGAACACCTCAATTATGTCAACAGATTTCACAATCAAACCAACAAATATTACAATTGAATCAACAGATATCTCAATCAAATCAACAAATATCACAAATGAATCAACAAACAAATAATCAAATGCATCAATTGTCATCAACATCAAGTACAGAAAGAACTCAAATGTATAAACAGATGGCTACTTCAAATCAACAAGTGCCACAGTTTTACCAACAACCAATTCAGTCTAAATGTAATGTGCCTGAGCATAATAAATGCAACATAGCAGAGGTGTGAGAGTTTTTTATTTATTTTACATGTAAATATGTTTACTTGGAATTTGTGAAATGTTACTAGTTTTGATTATGTTATACTATTTCTTAGCTAGATCAAAGAGCTCCTATATTTTCTCCACTTAAAACAAGAAATCAGCGGTTACCTAACAATATTGGTACTAATTGTTTTATTACAGAACTATATTTATATATATACAAACAATATATACAATTTGCATGATTGCATAGATAATTGCATATACAATTATGAAAATATTTAGAAAGATAATTATATTTCTAAATGTGTAAAGGTATAATGATAAATAAGCATTTATGTGCTGTTGAAAAGTCTTTAATGAAGACAGTAGCATGGCACTTTCAATGCACTATTTCTCAGTAACTTTATAACAGAAATATTTAAAAATTGTTATATAAGTTTATCATTAAAAGTATTTATAAATTTATAATTTAGATTTTTTGTCATAAAAAGAAAAAAACAAAACACGTTTTTAATTTTAAAAGTAGTACTTTGACTGAGAGTTAAGGCAAATATTAGTTGAACATAATGAAATTTATCAATTATTTTTAATTACTTTAATGTTAATTATCTTTTATTTTTAATTACTTTAATTGTTGATTACCTTTTATTTTTAATTACTTTAATTGTTGATTACCTTTAACTTTAATTACTTTCATTGTTAATTATCTTTAATTTTTAATTACTCAAAAACTACCTATGTTTTACATATGCTTGTAATTTTTGATACAGGCTAATTGAATTATTTATTTCAATAGTTTTTTACATTTTTTATTGAACGAATAGAAACTGAGTATTTTTGCAACTACTTGACATCATCTGCTGGATAATCTTGCTTAAAATTACATTTTTGAAGCTGCTAACCTTTTTTTCTTAAAATCTTTTTTTTTTATCTGAAGCTAATTTCTTGCTTTTCAATAAGTTTCCCTTTATAATTGACCAATAACTTGTAATAACTTGCAGCTGAGGATAATTTGAATGATTTGCTTTCTTAGGTACAAATTTGACAGCATTTTGTTTATACAATTCTAAAGATTTCTAGGAGTAGTGGATTGTATCAGATCAAAGTATTGTAAGCATATCATGCTTCTTAAATAAATATTGTGAAGATATCATGCTTCTTAAATAAATATTGTGAACATATCATTCTTCTTAAATAAATATTGTGAACATATCATGCTTCTTAAATATATATTGTGAACATATCATGCTTCTTAAATAAATATTATGAACATATCATACTTCTTAAATAAATATTGTGAACAAACCAAGCTTCTTAAATAAATATTGTGAACATATCATGCCCTTGTTTCTTCTGACAGTGAATCTTCTGATCAAGAAAATTTGGTTTCTAACATCAACTTAAGCGATATTTCTGATGATGATTGGACATTTTCATAATTTACTCATCAAAATTCTGTTGATGAGTAAATTATGAAAATACGTCAATAAGACAATTGCCTTTGTGCGGAAGCAATGTTTATATATATAAGAAAAAAAACTATTTTTAGTATTTTTAACTTTAGTTTTCAATCCATACATATAGTTATAAGTTCATACTATACTACAAATAAATATTCAAAAACACCACCCCTATTACTGGAGAATTAAATGCTTATTTCTCGAAGAGATTAAACAACTCGATGTAAATTGTCTACTCATTTTGTTAAACAATTTGTCGTTTTAAACAAAATCTTTGCCCACAGCACATAAACTAAATTAGTATTTCTAAACGACGTTCTTTCTATGAGCAATCTAAAAAACCAATTAAAATCTAATAAATTCAAAACTAAAAAACTGTAGCAACTTTAAAACTAATTCACTAATTCATAAATTTGCTATATACTTAATTTACTACAAAAAATTTAATTGCTACATTCTTTAAAATATTATTATCTGTAAATAATATATTTTTATATTATTACCCCTATCGTAACAGAAAGCAAAAAATCAAATTTTTTTTTGCCAACCTGACGTCAGGTAATACAGTCAGTGAAATCCTTCAAATTTCACTAACTGTATTTGTTTACTCATTTTGAAACGATAACAATGATAGCCTATACTTATTACCATTAAAATCAAACACATTAGCTTCCGTGTGCAAAAAAATTGTTTAGAAAATTAATTAAAAAAGTTTGTCAAGTAGTTTGTATGTATGTATGTATGTATGTATGTATGTATGTATGTATGTATGTATGTATGTATGTATGTATGTATGTATGTATGTATGTATGTATGTATGTATGTATGTATGTATGTATGTATGTATGTATGTATGTATGTATGTATGTATTTATATATGTATTTATATATGTAATATATGTATGTATGTAATGTATATATATGTATTAATGTGTGTATGTATGTTATATATACATAAAATATTTTATAAACAATTTTATAAATGCATATTTCTTTTATATAAGGTCCTGAGAGCTCAAACTCTTCCAGCTTTTACCCTCTTGAAGAAAAGTCTAAAGTTGTTCCTGAAGAACAATATACAAAAAAAAAATGCAATGAATCTTCTAACATGCCCATTCAAAGTGATCAATGCAATATATCCACGAAGAATGAGAATTATGTTAAAACAGATGAAACAGAAAAAAGATTGGTATTGAAAGTACCTAAACTAATCGTGCGAAAAGTAAAACATTTTGATGGTCAAAAGGAGGTTGAAACCTTAGAAGTATGCAAATCTCTAATAAAGAATAATGAAGAACCTATAGATTGTAAATTAAATAATGAAGAACGTATCAATTATAAATCAAATGTAAACAAACGTAAGAAGAAAAAGAATTTTAAGAAGAATTTTTCATCAGATGAAAGCGATGATAATCAAAAAAAAGGTATTGATATAAATTTTTTTATCCTTTGTGTATTTATTTTTATTCTATGTATGATGCTACTATGTCAATATGAACAAGTGTTGCATAGAGCTTTTGAGCAACTGTTCTAATTGTGGAAATAATCTTCTTTGGCTAGGCAAATCATCTATGAAGCAATAATGCATTGCTTATAGCTGTTTTCAGTAATGTTAATAAAGTTAAGTGATGTTGATGGAGAGAAAATGATTTTGAAGGAGTTAAGTGATGTTGATAGAGAGAAAGTGATGTTGATGGAGTTAGTAGGAGAATTTAACAATCCTCAATCACACTTAAATAAAAATAAAAATTTAAAGTATAAGAAAACAATATTAAATTGAGGCGTGAAGGCCAACATTTTTATAAGACCTAACAAAGGGTATGCTATTTCAATAAAGTTTATGGAATATAAATAATACTTTTAACATGGCTTTGTTGTTGTACAATGTACAACCATTGTACATAACAATGAAGCCATGTTCAAAGGTCGTACATGGCTAAAAAAATACAAAGCTAAAAAAAATATAAATATCACCTTTTACATAGCTTCTCTCTCATGGCTCGTTGATATTCTCTTCAGGGCCTATTATAGGAAAAAAATTTGGGCCCCGGTGCCTCTTTCCTGTGAACTTTAGCACATTAAGAGGTTGGAGAAAATGAGTAGTATTAAGGGAGGGGGGGTTGGAGGCAAGGTGTTTCTATGTATTTCTAGAGTCAATAAATTTTTGAATGATTATTTCAACACATAGTTCAATTATTAATATAAATTTTAATCTTAATGTTTGTCCAATTGTTTTTACTTATAAGATTTATTATTATTTTTTGCATCTTTGATTGTTTGATTGGTGCGGACAATGATGGGAATTACTATTAAAACATAGTATTAAAAACACCGAAAATAGTATTTGAGCCAAAGTTAGCTAACATTAGTTTGATTGGTTTAATTAATGATCACCTAATAGCTAATTGAATAAAACTTAAGACATTATTTATTCTTATATATCATCTTTAGGCATATATTATTGTTATGAAATTAAAAAACCATATAAATATATTATTGTTACACATGAAGAGCAAAGATTTAAATGTGAAGTAAAGTTTTATGTTTTGTTTTATGATTTGTTTTTTTTTATGGTTTTAAACATCTAGATTCCAAACGGTATAAACCTACAATAATCACACAAATTGATGATAAATCCACTATCAAGACAGAAACTGATAATAAACCCATAATAAAAATGGAAATTGATTGCAAACCTACAAGCATGACAGAAAATAATGGCCAACCTACAATCATGACTAAAAGCGAAGATAAAACCATAGTAAAGACAGAAATTGATGGTTAGAGTTTTTTTTCTTTTAATGCTTTTAAATTAACTTTATTATAAAGTTGTTTTAAGGTTTTTATATTAACTTATGACTGAAATGACATAAATATTTTTGTATAAAATGACATAAATATTTTTGTATAAAATGACATAAATGTTTTTGCATCAAATGACATAAATGTTTTTGCATCAAATGACATAAATGTTTTTGCATCAAATGACATAAATATTTTTGCATCAAATGACATAAATGTTTTTGCATCAAATGACAAAAATGTTTTTGCATAAAATGACATGTCTAAAGCATAAGTGCGTAAAGAACTGTTGTCTACAAGCTTCATACTGTTTAACGAAAGTAGACACATTTAAGTTGTTTATTTTGAATCAAATTCAAAAGTGGTGCGTCATACTCAGGTCAAAACTTGAAAAATCATATTTACCATTAGCATTATTGAAAAAAGTGTGAGGTTTACATATCGAATTTAGAACTTACAAAAAATTTAAATTTAAATTTAGGCTACCAGGAAGCTGCCTTTAAAATTGCAAAAAAATGTGATTTTTCAGGGTCAATTTTAGACTTTTTAGTCTTAAATCAGCTTTACAACTAACTTATGAGCTTTACAGCAAACTTATCTTCAGAAATTAATACAAGATAAGCGTAATACATTTAGTATTTAAAACTGTTCCAAAAATTTTGATTTTGATTTGATTTACAGAGTACTTAAAAGAAGGGGTGCTTTTTCCAAGTTTTGTATGTAATAACTTTAACTCATATATTTTATTAGATGGTCACTTTCCAAATGAATACACTGAGACTTTATTTATTTAGATATGGTAATTTTCTAAGAGAAACCAATGAACTTAACAGATAAAACTATAGTAATTTTGATTTGATCCAGAGTATTTACAATAAACTTTCAGAAAAAGGCCATTGTCAGTGTTTTACTTAAGCTTGTCTCTAGTTTAAAACATAACTTAATAACATGACTGGAAGATGTCTAGAACAAAGCTTGTCTGATTTCTTACAATAGAGCAAGAAAAGTTACAAAACAAAAGTTTAATTTCATGGTTGACAAATTATTTGATTTAATGAATAGTAAATGTGTAATTTTGCTTTGTTCTGAGCTACACTGTCCTCCTGATTGTTAAAGTTGGTGCCCACATTATCTGTATCTTATAAAGAAAAAAAAAACAATGAACTGGTTTACATAAAAGGTATGAGTGGGTAAACTAAAAATAATATAAAAGTATTAGTAATGCTAAGTTGCAAACGAAGGAGAGTAGAAGAAAAACTAATAAGAGAAAAAAACAACCCAAGAAAGTGAACATGTAGTTTTTGAAGAGTTCAATTTGAATGAAAGTCAGATTTCTATTTTAAACTCAAGTACAAACTGTTTAAAAATATCTAGAAACTATGAATATTTCTTTTATATTGCATAGGCCTGTATATTGGGTTGTTTTAAGAGCAACTGCAGTAATAGCTACTGCAGCATGGGTAGAAGAAGACTTGTATATAAAAACGATAATAAATTAATAATTGATCAAGGAGAGTTAGGAGAGCTAGAGATAGTTTTTAAATGGTCTGCTGAGAAAAAATTCTAAATAAGAAATTAAAAAAAAAAATTACAACCAAAATTTTCATCTCCACATTGTTATACTTGTTTTATTTAGTTGTTTTTTTTTAATTGAAACTGAAAACTCGGATTATAGAATCAATACATTTATCTATATGTAATAACTTTTTAGGTACATTTCATTTACTGTCTTTTTAAATGATGTTGAAAAGGGAGGAGAACTAGTCTTTCCATTGGCCAATCAAAAGAGTTAGGAGAGCTAGAGATATGAATGAAGTTGCAGTTTGATGTTTACTGAAATAAAGAGATTATTTTTTTTGTATTTTTTTTTGGAAGAAATGATCTGAGCAAAATATTTTTAACTGTAGATGGATCTTAAACACCACGTTAAAGTTAAAGAAGGACATTACACTGTTTTTTCTGGTGATGGGAAGAGCAAATTGTTATATAGAGAATCTAAAAGCGGTAAAAAATGGAGTGGACCTATTTGAAACTTACTTGACCAAGCAACTAATCAGTAAGGCTATCAAATAGTTATACATAACACTCATGTAAAGCTATACATAACAGTCACGTTCCACATCAACTAGAATTTCTTCCAATTGGCCCTGTTAACATAGCCAGATTGCTAACAATAGCCAATAGAATCGGAATATTTCATGATTGTCTTCAAGGCAATGCAGCCAAAAATCATGTATTTTTTATGTTATCATGTATTAATTATGTATTTTAGGCATGTGAAAATGTTTTCACAGAAGGTAGGAGAGATGGTTGAATTAAAGAAAAAGAGTTATCTCAGACATTAATGTCGCGTAATCTAGACAAAACCTTATTGGCCTTGATAATGTTTGAGAAATAATCTTTATTATAATATTTTATTGTGCCAGTAGATATGTTTCATTGGTCTAAAAAAAGCATTTTATTTTTAGTTCTACAAGACATTTTACCTTCTATATCTTATTTTACTTCTTCAGCAGTGAGCTGGAGGGGCGCAACCTTTGTTGCTGTTTTTATAAAAATAAAATTATTGATTTAGAAATAGAGAATACTTTTAACAATTTTGAAAATTAATAAAAAAATTACAAATTTTTAGTTCTAATAACCCCTCCCCCTGGGCTTTTGGTAAAACACTGTCTTTGATTCCCTAGTAGCATTTTTCAAAACTGGTGATTAAATAAAAACTATTTTTTGTTTTTATTTAATTACAAGTTTTGAAATATATATATGTGTGTGTATATATATATAAAAGATTAAGCAAAGATGTCTTGCAATTGTGTTTCTTGGAACACCATATTCTTTTGATGCAGCATACAAAAACATTTTTTTATTTTTAACTTTAGAAATAGCATTTTGCAACAATTTAGACGCGTGTTTTTTTTCTTAACGTAGTTTCTTGGAATAAGACTCTTTTTTCTTAACGTAGTTTCTTGGAATTATTTCAATATATTATATTTTCTTAAAATAAAATTTGTTTTAAGAAAATTCTTAAAACAATTTTAAAAATAAACATTATAGTTAAGTAATTACGATGTATATATGTAGTTCTACTAAAATTATTTAATAAGAAAACATAACAAAAAGACTATTTCACTTTACCCCCAGTAGACAGAAAAATAAGGGGTAAAATGAACTAAATTGATTTACTAATAAAAACTTAGTTGTTTCATATCATGATAAATTTTTTTTCTAAAACAGCACTATTATCTTCAAAACATATATAAATAATACCTTCATTTTATATATATGCTGAAGCTCCCACAGTTTATGTCAGTATGATATCTTCAATGACCTCTTATATTAGGCTAGATATATTTATAAAGATTATTTATAAAGGAAATTATTTATAAAATAAAAGATCTTAAATATTTTTCTGAATGTTATTTTTACTACATTGATGAGTTATTCGAATAATTCAAATAATTGAAAAAGTAATATTCAGTTAGTTCAATAGTTTAAATATCTGACAACCATTAACAGAGTTGAATTCTTATTTAAAATATATGAAAACTAATGACAAAAAAAAAAAATTCTCAAATAGACATAATGTAATGTTCATTGTTAAAAAATTAAATACAAAAACTAACAAAAACCTAACTAAAAATTAAAGAAAAAACTCTTAGATACAAAAACTAACAAAAATCTTAAAAATTTTCAAGATTTTTAATTTTTTACTTTGATTGTTGAGAAGTGTTTTAAAAAAAGTTTGGAATTTGCTTAAATGACTATAAAATTGGATCAAAGCTTTACGTAAAGTTTTATGTTGCACTTTTAGTGTGTTTGTGTTTTGTTTGCAGTTTATGTTAATAGGAGTAACCTGGTAAAGTAATGCAATTTAAATGTTTGTAAAACTTGCAAAGTTTTGCAAACATAATAAATAATAGTAAGAAATGCATAATTTTATTATTGTTATTATTTCTAATTAACATAAAGGTGTCGAAATCAAAGCGGAAGTTAAAAAGTTTGCCTTTATTTTAAATAAATTTTTGGAAATGGAGTTAGAACTTGATGCAGATGGTGAATTGGATATTAATGATGATGCAGAGATACCACCTGAATCACTTTTTCCAAGACCATTGATAAAAAGTTTTTATACTGAAGTTGCAAAAATAAAAACATGTGGTATACTTAATAAGGTAATTCTTAAAGTTTAAAATAAATAAATATAATAAAAATATTAATAAAAAATTATGTCATAAAAAAGAGTAAAATTCTATATAAAAAGTTAAAATGAATTTTCTTTAATATAAATGTCACAAAAATTAGAGTTCTTACATTAGAACTTTGAGTCTGGAGTTGAAACTTTCAATCTGGAGTTGGTTTATTGTTAAATTGGTACTTTTACATTGATTATGAAATAAGAATGAAAAAATGTATTTAATGTGGTGCTTAATGTGATTTTGTTTGACTAAAGCCTCACATAAACTTCTATTATAACATATTATAGCATTTGTTAGATTCATATTATTAGGCATAGAAAAATGATGTACAATATATATGTTTCAGACATTTAAATTTGTGAAAACCAAGAAATGGATTTTCTTGTTTTTTCAATGAATTTGTGTTTAGGCTATAAGTTATTTATTTCTGTTAGCGTATTTCAAGAATGTTTTAAATCAAATAAAAATTATGATTGAAATTGAGTTATTTAATTGTAGTTGTTTTTATTTATTTTTTATTAATTTAATCTAATTAAATAAATTTAAAAAGTATAATTTTAATGTGCTTACTTGTGTTTACTTTTTTGGTATTGTAAAAAAAATCATGTAACAAAGTTATTTGTCAATTGAAATCACAATAACAATAGTTATTGTATTGAAATTAAATCTAGTTTTTTTATTTTTATTTAAACACATAAATATCAAAGTGTGATTTCTAATAAATGTGCAAGTGTGAGTTCAAAGGAATAATAATGTAAAGTTTCAATTTTGCATTCCCAAAACGAAGATTAAAAATCAAATAAAAAACAAACAAACATCAGCAGTTCACACCCTGTAAATACCCATGATAACACATCACCCAAAAGGACCGAACAAATCCTTTTAGGTGGGCATTATATAGACCTTGTGTGAACATTTAGAGCCATTTTTGAAATCTTTTAACTACGTCCGAGCCATTTTTTTCATTTTAAAGTTATATAGTGAAAATAACCAAAAATCCAATATTTTCCAAAAAAATAAACAGCTTAAACTCATAATTTACAGTGACTTTTTAAGCTGTTGGTATTAGGAGATCATTAAACAATAACTTTAAGGCATTTCAAACATTCAAAATGTCAAATAATTATTGGAAATTAAAAAAAAAATGAATTTCAATAGAATTATATTACTTTGTAATTAAAAAGTAAAACAGAGTAAGTGTAAAAAGTAAAACAGAGTAAGTGTAAAAAGTAAAACAGAGTAAGTGTAAAAAGTAAAACAGAGTAAGTGTAAAAAGTAAAACAGAGTAAGTGTAAAAAGTAAAACAGAGTAAGTGTAAAAAGTAAAACAGAGTAAGTGTAAAAAGTAAAACAGAGTAAGTGTAAAAAGTAAAACAGAGTAAGTGTAAAAAGTAAAACAGAGTAAGTGTAAAAAGTAAAACAGAGTAAGTGTAAAAAGTAAAACAGAGTAAGTGTAAAAAGTAAAACAGAGTAAGTGTAAAAAGTAAAACAGAGTAAGTGTAAAAAGTAAAACAGAGTAAGTGTAAAAAGTAAAACAGAGTAAGTGTAAAAAGTAAAACAGAGTAAGTGTAAAAAGTAAAACAGAGTAAGTGTAAAAAGTAAAACAGAGTAAGTAAAAAAGTACACAATAAGATTAATCTTATTGTGTACTTTACTCTTACTCTGTTTAATCGATTGTGTACACAAAAAGATTATCATGAAGTTTATGAAATAAAAAAAACATTTATAACTATTTTTCCTTGCTGCATGCAGAACATTTTTTTAAATGGAGACATAAAGCTTCTAAAATGCCAAATAAAGCAAAAAACCATGAAGACTGCAGGAAGTCTGTTTGTTTTCTTTGCATGAGGAAAGGTGACCGAGAGTTAACTGACTTTATCATTGGAAGAATTCACAAATTGTTGAAAACGGACATTGACTTTGAAGATGAAAGGGTCCCACAGGCAATTTGCAACACTTGCGGAACTCTCTTGCAAAAAAGAGATGCTGGGGACATGAGTGTTTCACTTCCGGCAATCTACAACTTCTCTGCAGTTGTTGTCAAGCCTTTGACACGAACATCAGGTCCATGTGACTGCCTCATTTGCCAGATAGCAAAGCTCAAGCTCAACCAGAAACATCCTTTGGCACCAAAAGAAAAGACCAGAAACCTTGACCAAGGTGAATCTTCCAAGCCTGGCCCTTCACCAAATTCCTGCTTAAAGTCATCAGAAAAAAGATGCACACAGTGTTTGTCCATTCTTGCAAGAGGTTTCAGACACTCATGCACTATCGGAACAAGACACCAAAACTTGCAAGCATTGGTCCAGTCAGATCCTGTTGGTGCTGAGCAAATTGCATCAGCCATCATCAGTTCAAAAGATCCATCTCCGGGAGGAACTGTTCGCCTTAGTCAAGCAAGAGGAGGGCAGTTATTTCCATTAACACCAGGTAATAATGAACTTCAGTGTGAATTACTTTTTTTCATAACTGTTGTTGTTGTAATCATTTACAAGTAATCAAAATAAGTTGTTAAATTTATCTCATTTGCTTTTTAGGCCCAGCATCTGCACACAAATCAACCAGTTCAACACTTACAATGCAAAGCTTGTTAAATGTTCAGTTGAACACAGGACTATCCAACACAGGAATGCGACAACTTGCCTCAACACTTAACAAATCAACAGAAACTCGACTTGTTGAGCTGTTTTTCTAGCAGTAAATTAAGTTTGCTGCTGTAGGAAAGTCGTTGAACAATTTTTTTCAACTCTCAGTTGTTGACATTTCAGCAGAAAAAGGAAAAACTGAAGAGAAGAGAGCAATCGTTAACTGCAAAAATCTTGAGGACTTAACCAACAAGGTGCTGCTGTCAAGGGAATACAGCTACAATCATTTTGTCAAGCTTGGCATTGATGGAGGAGGATCATTCTTAAAAATGAGCTTATCAGTTATGAAGGTAACTGATGAAGATGACGAAACAAGAAGTCCTCAACCAAAAAGTCTTCGCTTACTGACAAGCTCAACTGCCAGAGACACAGGTGTCAAGCGTCAACTCATAGTTGCCATCGCTGAAAATGTTTCTGAAACATGCGGCGAGAACGTTAAAGTGATGATGAACATCATTCAATTAAATGATGTTTCATTCTGCATTTCATGCGATCTCAAAATGGCCAACGTCATTTGTGGAATTCAATCCCATTCAAGCAAACACCCTTGTTGCTGGTGCAACATTGATTCTGACAATCTGTCAGAATGTGGAACTTCCAGAAGTTTTGGATCAATAAAGGAAAAATTTGAAGCCTTTGTTGCAGCTGGATCAGATATGAAATCAGCAAAAGATTTTGACAATGTTATCCATCCACCACTGATTAGCATGGATGACTCAACACTCATTTTGGATGCGATTCCACTAATGGAACTCCATTTACTTCTTGGAATTGTCAATCATCTTTACAAGAATCTTTCTGATTTATGGCCTTGTGCCAAAGAATGGCCAACTTTGTTGCACATTCAGCTCCAGCCATACCATGGGGGACACTTTGCTGGCAATGAATGTCATAAGCTTTTGCAAAACCTTGACATTCTCCAAATGCTGGCAGAAAAAGCTTGTGCCTATCAAGCATTTGGTTTCATTGAAACTCTCAGACATTTCAAAGAAGTTGTTACTTCATGCTTTGGAACAACTCTGCAGGAAGACTATAAAGAAAAGATTCAGAAGTTTAAAACTTCTTTCCTATTCTTGCCAATCTCCGTGACTCCTAAGGTACATGCTGTTTTCTACCATGTTTCAGAATTTGTAGAAAAACATCAAACCTCCCTCGGAATCTTCAGGGAGCAAGCAACCGAAGCAATGCATTCAAGGTTCAAGTTTCATTGGGAGCGGTACAAGCGCATCCCAACTCATCCAGATTATGGGAAACAACTCTTCAATTGTGTTGTTGACTATAACAGCAAGCATCTGTAACAAACAACACCTCCAAACTCAACTTTTTTCAGAAATATATGTCTTGGAATAAAAAATCAGAAATTGCACATTTTAGAATTTTTTTTAAGAAATTAAAAAACTGTTTTTGAACTTTTGTATTTTATAAAGAAAGCTTTTAGTTCTAGTCTCTAACTTGAAATATGTAAGAATCTGTTTATTTTTTATCAAAAATATTGTTCAGATGAAGATGATTGTGAAAATATACTATATTGAATTTTACACTTTGTGTTTATTTTACAATAGAACTTTAAAATAAGAAAAATGGCTCTGACAAAATTTTGAATGTTTGAAATGATTTAAAGTTATTGTATAGTGATCTCTAAATACCAACAGCTTAAAAAATCACTGTAAATTATGAGTTTAAGCAGTTTATTTTTTTGGAAAATATTGGATTTTTGGTTATTTTCACTATATAACTTTAAAATGAAAAAAATGGCTCGGGCGTAGTTAAAAGATTTCAAAAATGGCTCTAAATGTTCACACAAGGTCTATATAATGCCCACCTAAAAGGATTTGTTCGGTCCTTTCGGGTGATGTTATCATGGGTATTTACAGGGTGTGAGTTCTTATGTTGCACCATTATATTGAGTATACAATGTGTAAAGCATAAACATAGTAATAATTAGAAACTTCATTATAATATTAGGCATCATTAGAATTCATTTTAATAATTAGAAATATTTATAATCTGATTAGTCGCATGACTAATTTAAAGTATAATAATAAAATGATTGATCACAAATTGTTTAGCTAAGTTTAAAAAGAAGCCAATTTGTTTTTTGTGTCATTCAAGACAATCTTTTTTTATTTCTTGTGGCATTCAAGTGGCATTCAATGCATTGGTTTTTTGTGGCATTCAAGACAATCTTCTCCTTAAAACAAAAAAATGAGTGGAGGAAGAAAGAAGAAAGAAAAGAAAGAAAAAATGAAGAAAAGATTCATTGGCTGAATAAGAAAGCGGTTTGAATGAGATGAAATAGCAATTTTATAACAAATTTATAACAATACAGTTTTGATCAGTCTTTCTAAACTTTTAATTTCAGGAAGTATTGACTTTCTACCACATGTTTGGCATTCCACTCTGCTCCAAACCGGTTTAAGTTAACACAATTTTTACTGTTTCGTTCTTTGTACTAGAATTTAGTTTCAAATCCATCAATGTAATGTGCAATAACTTCACCAGTAAAGATTGTAACCATGCTTGTTTAGTTTTTTAACCAGTTTGTTTAATATTTTTGTTGTTTAAATATTTCCAAACCACAGGTTCCCAGTTAAACTATTTTTAATTCTGCCAAACTTTTTTCTAGGATTAAAAGTTTCTATTGCTCTTTTTTATTTATACTGGTTGCTTTTTGATGTTCATTTAGTCTGGTTGGTTTTTTGTTGTTCACTAGCTTTTTGACAAATTACAAGATCTCACTTTTTTTCTTTGCAATTTCTTGTGGCAACATGTTACAGCAAGTTGTTGTGATAACAAGTTGCTTATTTCCTTTTTCAGTCTTATGTAATTGTTTTTATATAAAATAGAAATTTTACTGAAGAAGTATTATTTTGTAAAATAAGAAGCAACAAGTTGTTTATTTCCTTTTTCAGTGTTATGTAATCGGTTTTTGTTAAATAGAAGTTTCCATTTTAACTGGCCTTGTTTTGCTAAAATATTTGACAAACTAAAGTTTTCTTGCAATACTTGTAATTTCACTCTCTGAATTAGTTTCAACTGTTGAGTCAACATCAATCACATCATCAGAAATAATTATAGATCCAGCTACAAAGTAGCTTTTTTGTGGTTATAATATTCAGCAATTTGTCTAATAGGATAAACAACCAACTTTTTAACTGACCTTGTTTTGCTAAAATATTGACACACTGAAGTTTTCTTGCAATACTTGTAATTTCACTCTCTGCAATTGTTTAAACTGCTTGAGTCAACATCAATCACATTATCATAAATATTTTTAGATTCAGGGACAAAGTAGCTTTTTTTGGAGTAACAATATTCATCAGTTTTGCCCAGTAGGATAAACAACCAATTTTTTTCAATTCTGCATTAAACTTTTATGTTGTCTTTGTTATCATCTCAGTCCATATTTGCTTCTTGTAAGTAAAAACTTATTCATTTTTAGTAGATATTTTACTTGTTTTAGTCTTAAAATTAATGAAAAAATCTTGAGAAAATATGTAAATAAAACAAAGTATTTTTATACTTTGAATATTCAAATTCAAAGCTTCTTATCACTTATTTGATTGAAAAAAATTATTAATTTTTCAGTTGATTTAATTATCAATAAATTTGAATTTAGTTTAAAATAAAAATCACTGATGACATTAAATAGCCATCCAGGTTAGATGACTATTTAATAAGATGCAAGTCTACATTTAAAGTAATTTTTTTAGACACACTGACCACTCAGTGTAGTTAAAGAGAGATATAGAAGAAAAATATAGCGTTTAGTCCTTAAAAAAATGTTGTTTTATTTTGTGTGCATTTTGATTGGTTTATTTTTTTTAAATCACGAAGCTTATTGTTTTATTTTGTTTACAAATATTTGGTGATTTTATTATCTACGAGTATTTATTATCTACGAGTTTGAAGTTTTAGCTTAATACTATGGGGCAGAAGTTATATAAAAACTGAAGCATTTTTGTTTAGTAATTTATTCAAACGACTGTAAAAAGATTATTGTAGTAAATTGCTATGGGTGAAAACTAATGTGAAAACTTTGAAAAAACAACCCTGAAAAAAGGAAACAAATTTGTAACAAAATCTACAATTCAAGTTTTAATTAAACTAGATTTCAAAGTTCAAGTTTTAATTAAACTAGAAAATTTAATAATTAAAACAAGAAAATTAAAAACTTTTTTTTTTTTACTTTTTGTACAACTTTTATGTTCTTTTTTATAGAGTGGTTGTTGTTTTAGCTACCAAATTTGATACAAGTTGATGAAAAAAAAACATTAACTTTTATAAAAATTTAACAAAAATAAAAAGTTTTAATATATAATTTTATCAATCCATTTAATTGAGAAACTAATTTGCTATGTATGCTAGAACTATGAGAAATGCTGTTAATTTTTTTGCTTACGTTTATTCGTTTTTTCTTTTTCGTCTTTTTCGTAGGGGTGTTTAAAATCTTGAAAATCTTTTTCGTAGGGGTGTTTAAAAAATTGAAAATAATTAATTATTTTTAAATTTTCAAATTACTTAAGTAACTTAAGTAATTTAAAGTAATTTTAGTTATTTTTTTAGTTTCCAAACAATAAAAAATTACATCTAATATATTTTTGTGTGATATAGTACTATATAACTAAACAAGATAAAACAATGAAAGCATTAAAATTCTTTTAATTTATCACTCAAAGTTGTTCTCAAATTTGTTATAATTAAAAAAAAGTCTAGAGCACTAAAGTATCATTCTGTAATAATTGATGATGTCGATGTTGGCTGATGGATAAAGAAAGAGGGCTTGGTCAATTTAATCAGAAGAGTGCAGTCATGAGATGAAGAAGAGTGATATAGAACAAAGAGAATAAAGAATGAAGTGGTGCTAAACAAAAGCACATAAAAGAATAGTCTGTGGATTTAAACCTAGTTTCCCGACAAATAGCTAGTTTCTTACAAATATAAATGCCAGGCCAAGCATGTGATTATTGAAGTCTTGATGAATTAAAGTCAATCAATACTAAGATCACAAGATGAGACAGCCAAACTCAAATTAGTCTCACAAAGAGCAAGTAGGACTGGTGAACTTTACAAGAGATAAGACTCAACAGAAGAAAAGTTACTATGAAGACCATGAGTATTATTGAATCATAGGATTAGAGAACTTGGTGATGATGGTTTTTTGTATTTTATAGTTTTTGTTAACTTTATTCATTTTTAAATTTGTAAAAGAATTTGGCTCAAATTATAGATAGTACCTATTTAATGGCATACTCAGTACCTATTTAATGGACCAAGCATTTGCCTCATTATTATTAATAAACCCTTAGCCATAACAAATTAATAAACCCTTGGCCATAACAAAGGCCTTCAAATGTAGCCTCGACAATGCACGCCAAAAGTACAACAGGGACAGAACCTATGCACAACATGGCACTGTTAGTACTCTAAAGTTTAATAGCTGTTGATGGTATCAGCCTCTCTGAGAGCTACCACAGAGTTTGAGAAACCTGACTACCAGCCGGCCTCCTTGTTTTTTGTCTGAAGCGTATTCTACAAGGCAGCAGGACATAAAGCAGGTTGGTTTGTATAATATATTATTTGATTAATTATAGCAGGTTTATTTGTATAATATATTGTTTAATTAATAAATTTTGTAATGATGAAATAAATAAAATAAAATAATAACATAGTTTCTTTTATAAATGTGTTTATCACATTTCATGCCCATGATTACATTGCCCTATTTTCAATGTTAATATAAGTTACTAGAGAAAATAAACACATCGATTGCTCTGTTTAAAAATCTTTTTGAAAAATTCTAAAAATGTTTTAAAAGGGTTCCTAAAATTATGTTAAAAAGTTCAGTAAATTAACAATTTACTGTAAAAGCCACAAGCTTTTGGAGTATTGTCAATAACAATAGTTCATCAGGAAATAAACTATTTGGTTTAAATGTACAATATGGATAATCTAACAAAGAGCAAACTATTTCAATGGGGTTAGTTTATTTGTGAAAAAATATATTTTTGGGAGAAAATAGCAATTAGTTTTCTTGCTTTCCTGTGCATTAACAAAAACATTACAGTTTAGCAAAAACACTTGAAAATCAAATTGACAATGTTTCTAGTGCAAATAATAATTTCCTTAATAACCTGACAAAAAAAGTCCCAAAAATATTGTATATCAAAAAATGTTTTTATTTTTGTTACATACTTATCTGCTTTTTTCTTCGACTTGTATCAATTTTGGTAGTGGAAAATAACAAACACCATAAACAAAAAAAGTAAAATATTTTGGTATATATATATATTTTTAAATATTCAATTTCATTTACCATATTTTATTTAAATTTTATATTGTGTATAGTCTTTATTTCCTTTCTTCGAGTATTGCTGTTTTTTTCTATCTAGTTTCTCTTATAGCTTTAATTTGCTGCAAATTCTTAAAATGCTTACTTTATAAACATGTAGTCAAGTTGTCTAAAAATTACTTTAAGCATGGACAAACAAGGCATGCCACCACACGCACTTTCTGAAAAGGCTTGCCATCTGTTTTATAACATACATCAGCTGAGTTTGGTTTGGGTTTGTTGGGTTTTGATTTGCTGGCCATACAGTATATATGAATAAATGTCATATATTATGGCAGAAAAAAAAACTTTATAAAAGAGTTGTTTTTTACAATTGGATGTGCTCTACTCTTTTAAACACAGGTGAGATAAGTACACATGAGGTTCTGTACTAACAAAAATATGCACAAACAGATGCAACAGAAATGTTTATAAAGTACACTGTATTATTTGATTAATTTTGTTTTACAAATTATTTTACATATTACTTACTAACTGTAGTTTTTCTTAGGTACCTGCTGACCAATTAGTGCATATAATCTCTTCAATGGATCGACATGTGCGAGATTCTATTCAATTATGTCTAAATCAGGTTTTAGTATTATATTTATATGGTTTAGCCTAATTATTCAAACAAAGAATTTAAACAAATTATTTAAATAAACAAATTATTTAAATAAACAAATTATTTAAACAAAGAAAATATAGAGTTTATTGGCTTAAAATGTATGAGGGAATTAAAAGAAAAAGTTCATTACTAACTTATCTTAACTAATCTTATAAATAAAATTTATTTTAATATTTATAACTACAATTATTTAAGATACAAACGAGTAAAATTATAAACAAGTAAAGTTACAAGATTGCAAACAAGTCAAGAAAGACCTGTTAAGAATATTGTTAACATTGAATATATATATATATATATATATATATATATATATATATATATATATATATATATATATATATATATATATATATATATATATATATATATATATATTTAAATCCTGATCTGAAATAAAAATCTTTGTTTTCTAACTTCAAACTTCTGTTCTATAAAACTTCTAGGCTTATGAACTATATGAAGCTCATGAATTGTGTTTCTGAGCCTATTATGAACAATGTCTATGTGCCTAACTATGAAGCTCCAGTCTTTAACTACAAACCGATATCTTTTTCTTTATCTAATAAACACAATTTTTGTTTCTGTTAGTTATTATGATTTTAATTTTAAAAAATGTGATAAAACCTATGTGGTTGGTAAAGATGAAATTTGATAAATAAGATGGGGGCGAAATTTCAGATTCCCCATGTATTGTTACCTATGGCCAAATTATACACCTCAATGTGCATTATTTTATCGTATCTCAAATTTATTTTATTTACTTTGTTTTTATTCATTTTTTTGTATTCAAAAATTTCAAAATATAATACCAGCTAAGCAACAATTATAATCATGTAAATAATATAATATAATGTAAATAATATAAAATGTAATAATAATATAATGTAAATAATTGTAAATAATATAAAAAAATAAATGTATGAATATATTTTTTTTAATTTTAATATTCTTTTGGCCAAAATTAAAAATTTGAAGTACAAATAAAAATAAAACATTTTAAAATGTTTTGAATAGATGTCAAATCAATTAACAATAAACTATTAAATGAATGAATAAATAAATAAATAGTTTATTGTTTAAGTTGTGCAATCTAAATAACACATTTTTTTTTTTTTTTTAAATGACACTGTTGAATTTTATATTTTTCATTTTTTAACAGACTGTGAGACATGGTTTTTTTTTTAAATGACACTATCTGTTGAAGTTTATATTTTTTAAAAAAATGACACTTCTGCTGAATTTTATATTTTTAATTTTTTAACCAACTGTGAGACATGGTTTTTTAAAATAAAAATCAAGTTTGTTTATGGTAGTTAAAATAGTTTTGAATTTTTTATAAATTTGAAGTTATTTTTTTTTAAATTCAAATGTCAAGCTATGTCTTTTAAAACTATAGGATGACGATGAAGAAGAAGGAACAAAGTGGTTTAAATTGCAAGTTGAACGTATTCTACGGTCTGCAGAGGCAGCATGTATCATACTTTATTTAAGAACATGTCCAGATATGCCAAAACAAGTTTATTTAGAGGAGGCACTAGAACATATTATTTTGTTTTGTCAGCATCACCTTGAAACTACTTTATACCCTAATTTTGACCCACTCTATAAACATTCAAATGGTGTGAATGGTTTTAATTGATTTTTTAAAACTAATTAATAGTACATTGATTATTTTTAATTTATTTATATTCCAATATGTTAAAAAGTGGTTAGTTTTTATTTAATTTTAATGTTAACTGAATTCTAAATGTTTTACGAATTCAAGATAAATTTTTCTGAAATAAAATAACATAATTAATTGATGAATAATTATTAAAGTCCTAATATTTTTATATATTAAAAGACAACAGTATTTTTATAGAAGAAAGTTTTTCAAAGAAATCTCGTAGTCATGTCGTAGACAAGTCAATTTTGCAAATTTATAATAAGTTATGTGAAGTCGTCTCTCTGTTAGCAGATACTTTAGCTATGGAAACTTTAACTGATTCATCCATTCTGAAGTTATCTCAAATTGCAATTTCTTCATTCTTTGTTGATCAAGTCAGTGTACTTCAACTTAGTGCTTTGAGAGTAGCACGTGCAATATTTAGAAATTATGTTAAACATCGTGACTTAATAATGGATGACATTTTAGCTTCTCTTGCAAGGCTGCCATCATCTAAAAGAAATTTACGTAGTTATAAGTAAATAGTATTTTTGTTATTTTTTGTTTTTTATTTCCTTTATATTTTTTTCTTTTAATTTTTTGTTTAACTTTTTATTCATTTAAGTTAGTTTTGTTATCTGTTTTATTTTCTGTCTCAATATTTTGCTTTTTTCATTTAGTTTTTCATTCAGCACCAATGATATATTATATAAACTAGATGTCTAACTTTGATCCGAAAAGTGAAGCCGCTTTTTGCCCTTTTTACAAATGGTGGATTAACTTTGTAAACAAATATTTTTTAACTTTTCTTTTCTTAAATGAAGTAAATATATTTTAAATTTAAAAACTATTTATATAAAAGTGTTAAGCAGAAATTAGAATACCAAAAAAATAATAATTTATGATTCCTTAACTTATTTTGATTAAAAAGGGGTTAAAGTTTTGAATAGAAAAGTAAAATGGCTGTCGTTTTTGAAGCATTTTTATGAATTAAAATACTTTTTAATAAACATAAGCTGATAAAAAAATTGTTATAAGTATTTTATAATTATTAAAAATTGTTTTTGAATTATCTTTATTTTATTTTTAACTTTTATTCCACACTTCAGCTTCAGCTTTTGCCCTTTTTACAAATGTTGGATTATTATTACAATCAAAAAAAAGTGGCTTCATTTTTTGTCCAATAAAATCCTGCAAGTTAGACATCTAGTTATATAATATATCATTGTTCGGCACAATTTTTTAAGTTTTTTTTTTTTGCCTTTTAGAAAAGGGTTCCGAAACCACCAAATTAAGTTGTGTTCATATTAAAAAGAATGATTAAAAAAAAAAAAAAAAAAAAATTAAGCTACATTTTTTAAATTAAATCAAAAGAATAAATGCATACCAAGAAAAGTTTTCTTCATAATGTACCCCACAATCTACGCACTTGATAATTTATTCAAATGCGTTTTAATCTTTAGAGTTTTAGTACATGACATCAGGGTCATTCCATGCCAAGTGAACCATGGTCCAACATGGACCCCCTCAGATTTTGATGAAACTTGATGGGTTGGTTTATATCAATGAGAAAAGCAATTCCTAAAAATTTCAGCTTACAATCTTTTGTGGTTCATGAGATATCGCTATTTGAAATTTCTGATTTTTCCAAAAATTAAAACTCCGTTAGCAAAAACATGTTTTGTTCATAATTTGAAGCTCTGTATTTTAAAAACGAAATTTCAGAAAACCTTCTAGTTTTTTTAATTATATACAACTGTAGGCTTACTATGTTAAAACCTTGACATTGAATTTTTCATTGTCACATTTTATCCATAATGGCTGCCTAAAAAACCTAAAAAATTGTTTGCAGGTATAAAAATTGATTTTTGATGGGTCAATATACAAAATTAGCAACTTAAGAAGTGAAAAGACATCTTTTTAGTTTCTATATATGGTAGGCTTCCGAATTTTTAAAAAATTGCTGATAAGATACGATTCAGTAAGAAATAATGGACTCCTAAAAATGGTTCCGGGGAAAACTTTAAAAGTTGTGCCTTCCCTTAAACCACTGGTAACCTAGGATCAACACTGATTTTCATAATAATTTTTTTTTTTACTGATTTAACAGACTTAAGTAAAATGAATTCAGAAAAAAAATTAGTGGGTACTCATGGGGAAGTGACAAAGTCAGCACAATGAAGTTGGTACAAAATGCAATAAAAAAGATAAAAGTATAGATATTGACTCATGTCCATTTAGTTTTTAACATGCATATTTTTGCACAGAATATTTTTATCATAGGAAGAACTTTTTTCTTAATTTTATTAATTAGTTATTGAACATTTTACCTTAAGCAGTGTGTCATATAAATACAGTGACATTTAGTTTGTAAAGTTAGATGGTAAATAGAGCACATATAAAAGTAGCACATCAGGTAAATAATGAAAAAAAAGACTTTCTTACTATTTTCCCAACACATATTTGTTTTCATATCACTTATTTACTTACTATTTCATATTCTGACTATAAATTTTGCATAATTTTGTATAATGTATAAATTTGATTATCATCGTCTAAATTTAGGTTACAGATTATACCTAGTGATGAGTTATTTGATTTGTCATCACAATACACAAGTTTGTTATGTAATATATATTATGTAATAAAAACATTATTATTTAATAAAATATCAACATAAAAATTGAATCATTCAAATTTGTTTTAATAAAAAATTTGGGTTGATCAAATTAATAACAATTTTGCTATGTTGTTATATAATTTTGTTATTATTAATACTATTGTACAAATGTAGTATTTCAGTTTTTTCATGACCTGATAGTTCATAGCGTCTACCAATTGCTGATTACACTTTTAAAGATGAAATTTTGCATAGAACATTTGTAATTGGAACCCAACAAATATCTTCAAAGTGTTTGAGGAAATAGACTGCTTCATGAACTTTATAAGGTTATCTTGATTTTCTCCATTTTTCATAAAAACACATGTTATATAAATTCCTGGTGAAAAAGAGGCAAGTGGAATCGTATAGTGCTGCTGCATTGTTGAAATACTTACATTAGTAAACACATTGTCAAATGACACCGCCTCATCTGTAAAGTCGTTAATGATTTTGGTATAAAACAATGGTGGTTTTTTGTTCCTGGAATTGTTGAACAAGCAGCCTAACTTTCTTCTAATTTAAAATATATGCAATGTTATGTAACTGTATCATTTGAAATGTATTAAAATGTATTCCTTTAATATTTTGTCTACACTAATCATACATTTTCTCAGATGAATTGATAGGATCAGTTAGTGATTGTAAACCAACCCTTGCTACAAGTTATTTGACAGTGCCCCCAACACCATCACAAGCACTCTTTCTATGCAATGTTGCAAAAAAATGCCATTCTGCAGATACCTCATGATCATGTTCATGGTGACATGGGTTAGATATGTTTTTATAATTTTTGTATTGTGAACTTGCATTATCACTGAGATAAATGCAATGGTTGAATTAGGGTATCAACTCTTTTAAATGTTTTAATACTTCATGAATGAAACAATCAACTGAGTTTGTATTGTGTTACAAATGATCTGAGATAATACAAATACTTTTACATTTTATCTTATTTTCTTACATAAAGTAAATAACAAAAGGATGCAATGTTGCTTGGCTGTTGTTCCAATTGAAACCTTGTACTGCATCTTGAATTAAAAAACTGTAGTTTTCAGCAAAGTCAAGTAATATTAAAATATGATTACTTGGTAATGTGATTTTTAGATGCTGCAATATGCTATTTAATTTTTGGCTATGTAGTGATGGTCTCTTAAATAGTCAACAAATAGACCAATTTGTTGACAAGTTTTTTCAATAAAATTATCCACTGGAAGAGTTACTGGCACTATATCCTGTTTTTTGTTAGCTTTTTGCTATTCATTAAATGTGATTTCTTCAATGCTATGTTTATCAAATATAGTAGTAAGATACTTTTTAAGTGTGTCAGTATCTGGGTAATTATCACAACTGTGCAGCATGCAGTCTCGATTTGTTAAGTTACATACAACTAATGTCAAAAGATTTTTATATTCTAAAATATCTGGTACTTTTAATGCTAAAAGTTTGGCATTTTTGTGGTACTCACAAAGGCATACTGAGTTGAGACCTGAAGCACCTCCAACAGGAATACACCACTTTGGTCTAAGTTTGCAGAACTTAGAAAATCTAATCTTGACATCTAAGGAAATTTTAACAAATTCTAAATAAATTTTTTTAATATTAAGTAATAGTGGTCTTTTTTGAAAATCTTTTACCATCGACTTGGATTGAGACATTTTAGACGGTTCTGCCATTATGCCATGCATTTGTTTCAACTTTCTTGCAGTTTTTATCATTCTTTGGAAAGCAGAAAAATAGTTATATGTGTATAGTAATATGTGTATAGTCAATTTTCCAACTCTCAGGAACCAAAGTTAGTAATTTCAGGTTTTTTGATTTAATTAATTCCATTAGTGAGTCCAAGTCTTGTTTACTGGGTCAACATAGCTCTTTTGTTTTTGGTTCATCATTTATTATATTGGGAGAAACTTCTAAAACAGTTGCTATTTTCTTTTTAGTGGCAGTATGGATCTTGATCATCTTTTTGATTTTGCATAGCTGACCCTGGCTTTATGAGCTGCTATTTTTAGGTGTGAACAACCAAGGCTATTAATGATTAGATTAAAGTTTTCTTCTGAAATATAAATCTCATTCAAATCATTGTCTTTTTACATGAATCGCTTTCATAATCTTATTTGTTATTTTTTAAATAGAATATTTTACAACATTCTGTACAAAGCTTATGACCATGTATTAAATCAAATTCCTTTGCAACAGCAACACTGTTTACTCTGAAAGATTCTAAAAAGAAACAAAATGATAAAACGTTAAATAAGCCTTTTTCTTTGAAATAATTGCTTAAATCAATTTATTTTTAATTACTTTTTATTTTAATTTTGTGTTTGTTAAATGGATCACAACAAAAGCTTCCATCATACGAAAACTTAAATCTATTCAAGAAGATCGTTTCATGGTGATAACAAATAGTTTTTATATGATTAAGTTTACATCATAAGTGCACAAGTTCTTGATCTTTTTATGGTTAATTTGTCAAAACATTAAATTTTCTTAAATTTGGTAAATTTTCCTTCATGACAATCTTTATTTAATGTTTTTCCAATGCAACATTGAGTTAGATGCACTAGCCATTTAATTTTAGTTATTATCTAATAAATTTATTTAGTTTCAATTTTTGAAGTATAAAGTAAAGTTTCCATAAGTTTTAAATAATTTAATACAAAATGATAAATTTTATATATAAAATAAAGGTAAAAAGTACACCCAATAACTTGTTTATTATTTCACAGGTTTTAAATGTGTGTGTTCAATTCTTATTTTGCGCATACAGACACTTCATGCATTTGAAAAAAATCAGTGAAACCTTCAATAACAAAATTCTTTTAAGATGAGTTCTGTGCAAAAATATGCATGTTAAAAATTAAATGGACAGGGGGGAG